CATTAAAGGTAAACCCTACGAGATATTTCTACCTTATATATTCATAATATTTCAAAACTGCAATAACAAATGGACTGTAGTTTTAACCAACGCGAAGAAAAACATACTCTAAGAATATTGGTAACTGAATTATCACAACAGCAAATCATTTTCCATACCAGGGGCATCACCAGAGACAAAAATGTTTTGGTCGAATGCGTCGTTATAGATTTTGAAATCTCGCCGGCTACACTCAGCTCATGCTACGATACGATTTTATTCGTTTTAATGATTATCCGAAAATATGTTTGCTGGAAAGTTTCGTGACAAGTTAAAGTTAATAGTTAAAGAAAAAATTTCGCGGTGGGGGTGGGGTGGGGGTGGGGGCAATTACCTTATTTCCCTCCCCGCGGATCCGCGCCTGCATACACGTAAGTGCTTGTAACTTCCATTGTTCAGCTCAAAACTCACCAAACCGCACACAGAAAGCAAACATTGGCAGCCCTGACTGCGTGCTTCGCCGCGCGTGGACCCGGTCCCGGAGACCGGGTCGTGCCGACCGGTAGCCGCTCGTAGCCCACGGCCTGCCGGAGCCGCAGAGGGGGTCTTTCTCGGGGCCCCGGCGCACAAAAGAGCGCAGCCTGGCGCAGAGCGGGGCCGAGCCGGCGTCCCCGGTGCGCTTATTCAGCCCCATTCACCGCGAAAAACTCGTCTCGCTCGTCTTCATTACGCCATATACGGCTGTCCCGCTGCCCGCCGACGTTTGAAAGCGAAACCGCGGGGTTATCCTTGAGCGTCGCTACACTGCGCTGGAAAGGCAGGCCGTGGAATTCGAACCCTGACATTTTGCGGAGGCTTCCTTTTGATTTATTCCCAACTTCACGGTACGCCGAGCACTAGATATTCTTCCGATATGAGCATAGCAGCATCATAAATTCTTCTAGTAGTGCACTTTTGTTTTCGTTTTCTTTCTCTACATTTGTATGCTATTTAGATTCCTATTCGGCCACCCCTCCAAAAGTATTTTTCTTTCTGGAAAGTAAGAAGTACTGACTTCGAGTTGTCCAGGATTAAACACAGTAATAATAAAATTGTTAAAAATTAGAATTAATACAATCTTGACTGGGCAACTGCGGTATACTACAATAAGCTAATATAAACAGTACTTAGCTTGTAAAATAACTGTATAAACTATTGAAAGGATCGTACAATTGCGACCATTCTTAAAAGAAAGCTTAGATCTCAAGAACGCAGTCTTCATCACCACGCTCAACTATTAGCCATTATACAAGCCATTTCTAGCATTTTATTTATAGTTCACTACCACCGTAAACATTTAACGGGCCGTAAAGTATTACACATCAGGAAAAGCTTATCCAGGGGAGTTACTTGCCCTCCCTCCTCACCCTCGTGACTCATCCTCTACAAAACGCAACCCACAATCGCGTTGCACTTACTGTATATTGTCATTTCTCTACATTAATCTTAAAATCCGCATTTCTACAATTCCGCTCCCACGCATCCAAAAGTACCCCGTCGTGCCGCTTCTGATTGGTTTATGGGCGTTAAAAATCACAGTTTATAATACTATAAACCAAGCTCTGACCTTTCGTTCATTCCATGGCCGCGTTTCTCCCTGGACTACCTTTAAGCCTTCTCTAATAAAATCTTTAGGTCATAAAAGCGAAGTCTCCGCTGGAACAAAACCCCTTCCTGTCGAGAACGTGATACACCCTAAACATTTTACGGGAGCATTTTATATCTGTCTTTGTGCTGCTGTAAAGAGAGCCGCGACCGGATTGTTGTTAGGGGACCAGGGGGCAGAGGGGGTGGGGTTAATAACGCTGGCTGATCTTCAGCTGTCGCGGCGGCAGCGGCGGCCGGCTGCTGTGACGCGAGGGAGCGGGGGCGCGGATATAGTTGCCGGCGTCGACACAGAGGAGTCATAAGGGGCAAAGGGGGAGGGGGAGCGGAGGACGCGGAGGGGTGGCGAGATCCAGGGTCGCGGGAAAGGGAAGCTAGAAACGCAATGAAAGGGAAGGGGGAGGAAATCGCACACACAGAGGGAAGAGGGGGTTAGAGGGACGCCACCGCTGCCGCCTGCTGGCGGGCGGGCGGGCGTGGGGACGCCACGAGTGAGCTAGGCGTAGAAAGGGGAAGGGGGAGAGGAGGGTGGCCCGGTGCGGGGCGGCAGCTGTAACGACGGGTGGGGGGGAGTGAGGGGGGGAGCAGCTGGCTCAGTGGGTGCAGCTGGCCAGGCGGCGCGTGGATGCAAATGAGGGCGCGTGGACGCGGAGGGGGGTGGGGTGCAAATAGGAGCGGGGGTGCGGCTTGGCAAGGGGGTGAGGGTGTTGATGGCCGAGAACCTACAAGAAGAAAGGAACTCGGCGTACAGGGCGGGGTGTGGAAATTTGACTCCAAGAAGGAACTGGATCGCCGGGTTATAGGATCAAGGAAGTGCTACAATACATAATCTTGCTGAGTAAAGAATGCGGGAAGAAGACAAAGGACGAGACGCAGGAGCTTTGCCCTTGATGTGAGAAGACAAAGGGAGGGAAAACATTAATGAATATAAAGACAAGAGTAAAACTTTTGTAACGTAAGATCTAAGAAGAGCTCCGGAATAAAAACACACTCTTAATACTTGTCATTTTCAAATTATATTTTGTTTATTTACTTCCTTACTTGTTTTACAAGGGTATTTAGCATCACACGCATGGAACAACACATTTGTCAAGATCTCTGATCAATTTTGTTAGCCTTTATCAATTATATTTACTCTAATAACTTTTTATAAATATTCAATAGACCTTTTATCAATATTGTTATTTATATTTTGCAGCATTGTATCTATTAATCACTCAGGGGAAAAGTAAGTATTACAGCAAGGAATGAAGTCTTCAAGGAAAAATACCATTGTAGATGTAACAGTCAGCTGATTTAACTACCGATTTCGTGCAACAACTGAATCAGAGTACACGTAAGTACAGCTACTATTATTCAATACACAACATTCTCATTACTGTTAAATATAGGGTCATAGAAACGTATATTAGGCATAAACTAATCGCTCTACATAAGCAACATTCCCACCAACTGGTCCTTTATCGTTTAACGGAAGTACTAAACATCAAGAAAATAATGAAAATTAGAAAAACATGCGTACATTCAGCAATGTAGCAAGTCCCGCACAAATCAAGGAGGAGAACAGCGAATTCGGCAGAGGCGGCGGCAGCAGCAAGTAGAGACAGCGTGACTACAGATGCCCCCATACATTATACATCGCGCGCCACTGTCGACTCCGAAGAGCCCATGCAAATGCAAGGAAACGTCTTCGGAGCGCCCGTAAAACAGATTTCTGTATCTAACGAGCATGAATACAAGCAAGTCTGGGAGAACGGGTAGGTCTTTGAGCGGTCCGCGTTCGCCGGGCTTCAAAAGGCCATTCAGACCCCGCGATTTGATTAAAACGCGCACTTACGCGCAAAAGAAACAGTCTTCTAATTAAGACAAACAAGAGAGGATCGAAGAAAGCGGCAGAAGTGTAGTAATATTGAATCATTTGGAAGCACAAGATTTCGTTATTGTAATGAACAATTGGTGCTAATTGAAACGGTTTGATACGGACAAAGGAGGAGGAAAATTTGCGGATATCAAATGAGGCTTATTCTCCTTTGTTTGAAAGGTTTTATAAGATTAAAACACTTTTCTTAGCAAGAACTGAGATAATACCGTTTATTATTATTATTATTATTATTATTATTATTATTATTATTATTATTAATATTGTGAGGTTCATTTAGTTTATAAAGTTAATGTATTCACAGATTTTTCATAAATTTCGTGCGTACAAAGCGCACACTTCCAGATGATCTTTGGCTTTTAAATCGTGGCTAGGTCTTGCAACTGCATACGAGTTTCTAAGAAATTACATACTCAAGTCGATATTGGCCACGTTCACGTCATCAGATGTCACACAGAGGGTCGTTGGCAGTAGCATTCAACGCAATATTCGCTTGGAAAATCCGGATCTACAAAAATGCTTCTAGAGTAGAAACGTTTGTCAACATAGTACTGGATAGAAACAAGAAATTTTACTAGATCTACGGACACGGATATGCGAAAATTTTGAAGATTGAAAAAAGTTAGTAAGAGAAAGTTAGTAAACAAGATGTAAGACGTATTGAAAAACTTTTTCAACAAGAATTAAAGAGACAAATCTGTAAACACTGTATGGTTTTCTCCTAAAAGAGCTTCCGTCCCTTCGCCAGCTTAATCATTTTCTCAAAATCCATTCGTAGAATTAATTGGTTTTCGGATATGATGTTCTTGAATGAATCTGAAATGCGTTTAGGTATGAATGTTTTCGAACATCGATGTTTTTTAAAAGTAGATTTAGGAACGAACCTCTAATCTTAAATTCGTGAGCAACACAAATTTTTATGACAGTGGCGTGAATAGTATTTTATAATTAAAATTTAACTGAAAACAAAATTAAAAAACGCCTCTCCATGTGCGAAATACGAGGAAAGGCAAAGAAAATATCAGGGCGTCAGGATGATCTCGGGCAAGGAATAGGAGTCAGTTTAATTATGGTAGTTCATATAGCCTTCGTTTGATTCGAAAACCGTTGTTCCGGCAGTTATTATTTCAAATTTTTAGATTTTACAAAGATGCAAATACGGGAATTTTTCATTCTCGTACAAAACGTTTAAAAAACTCGTAAAAACATTAACACAAAACATCGTTGCTTAAAACATTTTTTTTTTCTTTTTCTTTTTTTAAGAAACATTTCGCGTTAGATTGGTTCGAAATCAGACAGTGGTACCACCAGTTATTATTTCAAGTTTTAACTTTTACACAATTGGAATTATGGATTCTGCGAAAAAAACATCGTGAACAACATTGATGTTTAAAAAAACATCTGCTTTAATACAGGAGTTTGAAACATTGATTTTTTAATATAGAATGATGATGTTTTGAAAACACGGGCATCGACGTCACATCCCTGCCGCCCGTGGGGGAGCGGCAAGCACGTTCTCGGCGCGAGCAAGGCGGCGGGCCCCGTCCCGGCGAAGGCCGCGGTTATCGGCGCGGGCGCGGGCGGGGGCGACCTTCTGCGCGCGCCCAAAGCGCTGAAGATCACCGCAAGGTCGCGCGGGGAGCATCGCCCGGGCGGGCGGGCGCGGCGCTGGCGTCACGACGCCCGGCCCCCGCGGCACGTCGCGGCGCGCGGCCCGCGAGACGTCGCGTCGGCGTCGCCGCTTCCGCCGCCAACGACGACTTCGCCAGAGCGGGGCCCGGGACGTACCCAACGCCGCACAGACGGCCTCCCTCGGCGTTGGAGAATGTGCGTTAAATTAAGGCAGCCCGATTACACGTCGATTTCTTTGCAGTGTCCTTCGACAGCTGGTACGGTGTCATTCAATCGGGAGTTTAAACATCACTATTGTGGGTAGCATTCAATCGGGAGTTTAAACATCACTACTGTGGGTGTCATTCAATCGGGAGTTTAAACATCACTACTGTGGGTGGCATCAAAGCTCCCGATTGGACAACACCGTAACAGCTGATTAATGTGAACAGATTCTGCGTTAAAATCGAAGTATAGGACGTGTTGTCTAGCGGGCGATAATGAGCTTATCATCTCGGCTTCTCCATAAACCAGCCTCGTATCGCCGCCCCATGGAACTA